CCTAGGTCGTAATTGACGGGGCATATCGATGTAAAACTGTCCTAGGAGGAGCAAGGGAAATATCGACTGTGATCTTGTAGGGTACCTATCGTGCGTTGTTGCCCGCTTAAGAAAAGGTTCGGCCTCTCCTTGCCGCAGTTGGTGACACCGATCATAAAAAGGAACGTCAAGAAGAAAAGAAGACTTTGATAAACATACGTCAGATATCAACAACCCGAACACCTCTCTGTATTAAAAAACAGCTAAATCTATGTCGAAAACTCTTACGGAAAGAATGATTGGCCTTTGAGACAAAACTAGTCAAGAAAATAGCTAACAAACCAAAAGTTACTTTCTTACGTGAATAAGGCAAAACGCAATCGATATTCGTTTCCTTGTCTGAAAGATGACCAAGGAATCAAGTTTACCGATAACTCAGAGGAGGCGAACGTCTTGTATAAATTATTTATGTCTGTGTACACCGAGGGGCCATCATTTAATGTGGATGAAGAGCGAAATATTGTCCCAGAGGGGGATACACTTAGCGCGGTATCGGTCGCAACAGACACAGTAAGAAAAGCCGTGAGACAACGACAGCTCACTAAATCGTCAGGTCCGGATGGCTTATCATCGAAACTTTTGAGTGAGCCTGCAGTACAACTGACATCCCGACCTTCCAAGATCACCGAAAGTTCAGTGGAGAAGGGAACCCTACCTTCTAACTGGAAGCTGGACTACAAAATCACTATTGATAAAGGAGGTGAGAGAACGTCGCCTAATAGCATAAGACCAGTTAATCCCCAATGTAGGTGTTGTAAACTAATGAAGAAATTAATCAGGACGGTACTAATGAGACACATTGAGGAGAACAACTTGCTAATCACAGGGCAACATGGATTCCGGAGTAGTCGATTTAGTCTCACGAACCCTTTGTACGAATTCTTTGGAAATGGGTTCGTCAGTCGATGCGATCTACATTGTCTTCAGTAAGGCATTCGACAAAGTTCCACACTGACGACTAATATCAAAGCTGCATCAAATGGATGTGACTGGAAATTTACTCGAAGTTCTGCTGTATGAGAACGACTGCCTTAATTGTCTCACCTGTGAGCAGGTCATGTTTGCAGACGCTCTAAAGATTTGGAAATCAATCGGAAGCTTGGAGGATGGACAGACCTTACAAAATGACTTGGATTGCTTGCAAAAGTGATTAAAGAGTGGCTACTGCAGGTCAACTTTAACAAATGCCAAGTCATTCGCCTGCGGTCTAGTTGTAGAAAGGTGATACCACTTGAGCATGACTACTTGATCGGCGGTCACCAAGTCGGGCAAGTGAACGAACTACGGGATCTGGGTGTATGTATAACGCCCAACACCAAACATTCGACTCACTGAGCCAAAACCGCAAATAAGGCTATGGGCAGCCTAGAAACCCTCAGAAGATCCTTCCTCTATTTTGATGCGGAGCGCTTTGGATGAGTCTTCGAACCATTTGTTTGGCCTTTTTCGAATATTGCGTCCAGGCATGGTGCCCTGGATGAAGCAAGATTACGCAGTACTGAAGAAATTTCAAAGAAGGGCGACTAAATTAGTTAGCAGCTTAGGAGGTTTACGTATGAAGGTCGACCAGAAAGGCTCAAGCATTTTCCTCTCCATTATAGGCAATATATAGGGGACAAGGTCATGGTGTTAGAACTCGTAAGGAATGCAAACTGTGCACTTCAGATAGCTAATTTCTTTGAATTCGCACAAACTACACATATTCGAGGTCTTCCACACAAATCAAAGAAACACCATACCAAACTGGAAGTAAGGGTCAACTTCTTCTCTTACCGGGGGATTGAAAGCTGTAATAAACTTCCTTTCTCTGTTGTTCATTTGAAAGCGTTGACGCAATTAAAAGAAGACTCGATCTTGCTAGTTGTACATTTGGTAGAAAACAATGATTTATATAATGTAGATATGTGGCTTTGAAACACCTACATAATTTGACAGCATTTATCTTTAAATAGGGTTTTCAGAGGCTTTGCCTATCTCCCTAATATATACTGAATTATATAAGGAAGATAGGCAGAACGCTTGAAAACCCTATTTACCGGTTGATTCCATGGAATCATGCCTATGTTTCATAGCTACATAGGTACATTAAAGAAATTGGTGTTGTCTACCAAACGAAAAGTAAAGTATGGTTGAGTTTTTTTTAATGCATCAATCTTTCAGCAAGAAAAAAAAGAGGAAAAACAATGTTGACATTTTCAAAGCATTAATATTAAGCATTCAACGTATCAATAAGTAAAAAAAGAGAAGATTAACCGACATTCACAACGGTAGCGTAAACCTTTAAAAAATATCGCATTTGGGAGATATTCCGTAGATATATAAACGAAATAGGCAGAGAATTTTAATAGTCTTAGCTACTTTGATACCAAAGAACGAATTTATCAAAATTTGCCTAAAACATCATTTTTACGGCAAAATCGTTTAAGTTTCTTCATGTGTAGAATAATAGATATGCACTTTCATGAAACGTAGAAGTATGTTCCTCAAGTTGTTTTAGTCGTCAAACGGCATAGCAGCCAATATGTTCGATTTTTAATTTTATTGGTACTATTGACCTTGACGTACAAGCATGCTAGCGTAAGTGAAATAAAATTACAAATGTTAACGAGAAAGTTAACGTTTTTTATTTTTAAAAAATTCTTGCTGCTTTATTAAATAATATATTTTTATTCTTACAGGGGCCTGAGCAATCCCAGGTTGTTCCTACATTGAAAATTCATGCATTCTATTTTTATCTAAAGGGGAACATCAGATTATGATCAAATGAGAAAGCGAGCATCCCTTTCAGACCGAAAACCACTGAAGAGCTCTTTTGAAATCTACAAATCTGAAGGCGATGTTTTATTAAGATTACATAAATACGACAAGGCGATTGAGGGCTATACGAATGTATGTACTACCACCTGTCGGACTACGTATTTAGGCCCTAGAATTGCGACCAAATAATGTCCATTGCTTGATACAAAGATCAAAATGTTATTTGGCTGATTCTCGCACAAGCGAAAGCTTGCAGGATGTTGAAAAAGCACTCAACGTTGATCCGCAATCATACAAAGTGCATAAAGTTTTCCTGACGTCATGATTTAGGCTATCTACCAAAAAGCGGAAACTTACTATTACATTACGGAATTTGAAAAGGCCCTTATGTTTTATCACAGAGGCAAGGAACTACGCCCTCAGTTTAAGCCATTTGAACTTGGCATTCAAAAATCCGAAGAAGCAATCAATAACATCGTCGGAGGTAATTAATTTCACTAACAGTTTGAAGGCAAATTAATTAGAAAGTGCTTAAAATCTACTTTTAGGGATTAGTGGTCACATCGCAATTTGCAGCCTCGTTCATTCCCCGCCAGCACAATCCCCGTTTAGCCCCGCCTAGGGCGGGGATTAAACGG